GAGCTCCTCTCTGTCCTGTTAGCACCTAAATAGGGCATCGCATGGCAGTGCAGGCACTTGCAGCAACTTTTAAGAGAGTGAAAGGATTTAAATTAAAAACTTACACAAACTAACTTCTTTAAGAAAGCAGGAAACATTTAGCTAGCTGGTTTATCCTCGGGACGAGGGCTGAAAGCCGATTTGTCCTACAGTAATGTATTTTTTTGTCTAAAAGCAGCTAGCTGTCCGTATCCTGAATTAAGGAGTATTTTACACAATGACATAGCATCCAGCTATATTAAACACGCATCCGTGTCCTAACAATACTTCCTATCGCTGCCTAATCATAACTGAGTTAATGAACCACAACAAAAATCAGAACAGGAGAATCTGTCGACTTATTTTCAATATGTATCATCCCGAAATGTGCTGTGGGTGCGTGACCACGCTCGAAAGAGCTCTCTGTCAGTGCACTCTCCAGAACTGAAATAATCTCTCCATAATGTCTCTGTCGATTAAAATGGAGAGAATGCTCCTATATTAATACCAATGAATTTATATTTTTCTTCTGCATTTATGTTTAATTAAGCAACTGCTCAGCTTGTCTTGCTCTGTACTTTTTATTTCTGATGAAGTGTACCTATGCAGGCCTCAAATACATGTCCTGCCTTCATGCTCTTCGTCAGACTTATTCAATTAATGCTTTCTCCTTCTTTGCCTCCCTCCGCCCAAGTGAAACTTTGCAAAATAAAGGGCATTTGCTGCACAGTTGTAGCCCACGTCCCAATAGCATCGCCTTTTCTATGATTTTCTCCCCCCCGCATCTTTAACTGAAGCCTTCAGTCCTCTAGCCTGAACACAGAAAACTCCCACTTAAACCAAATACATGTTTTGAATTCACAAAGAATACTGCCTGGGCTCTCAAAAAGAGATCAAAACGTCCAGATTTTACTAAAGAAAGAGAGATCACAATGCTCTTGTTTTCTTTTACATCGCTTCCATCTCTAGTCAGAAGTGAAAGAAATGGCACATACGGAGCTGGAAGCCTTGGGGCAGGGAGA